TCTGTTCAATGCTCCCGCAAACGAATGACAACAAAATGCACATATCATAATTACAACCTACCAAAGTTATATGTATAATTTTAGGCAGCTACCTTGTTCGAGGAATGTATCCTTTAGTAAACCTACACATCGCAGCATCAGAATTATACTGTTCTATCGACTGAATTGGGTCAAATTGAGTTATTGGTACTGTTGGAAAGCGCAGGTTCTGATCTTTCCGGCTGTGCTAAAATTGTTCTCATTTGATCAATAGTAAAGCCACAATTCACAGAATTATTTTGTTCTATCAAGAGCATGACACTTAAATTTAGTCTTAAAGTGTACCATGTTTCCTGACCAATCACATTCTTACTATATACCATGTGATCAGTTTTTCCTTTGATGTCATGGCAGAGCATATGGGGTCATCTTTATCCACTTTAATTATGTATGTATCAAGTTCAAAGCAAAACAATTTTTAGTTTTTATGAAAGTGTATATTGTCAAAATCATGTGTGTAAAGTTTAGTCTCTATACGTTGACTAATTCTTGGACTAAAATCAAATTTAAGTTTATTTCAAAGATAGAACACTATAATACTAAGATAAAAGTATCCTTATAAATTGATGTGAATGTATCACTGAGATTATAATGGTGTATGAAGAACATAGAACATTATAAAACAAAACGAATGTGATAAAGTATCCAACATTGTCTTTAATTCTTTCTTGCATTGACAGATATTAAGAAATGAACCTGATTGATCTATCAACAGTTGTTTTAATAGAAATTTTTAAGTTCATTGCTTTGGAAGAACTACTTCAGTCAACTAACAGGGTCTGTTGGAGCTTCATTATATCATTGCAAATACAAGCATACTGTGGAGAAACTTAAATTTGTGAACCACTTAAACTTTTCAAGTGAGCAGTTTGAGACTGTTGCTTCACTCACACAAATTTAAGACGTTAGATGTTGGATATTCGAATTTCAATTCACATCAGCCCTAGATTCTGCACTCCTACACTCACTACCAAAGGCAACTAATGTCACAAGGTTGTTTCTAGCAATATCGAATATTTCATCACTCAAGTTCTTGAAAGACCTAAAATGTTTGCAGCTTTTAGATGTATCAAATTGCATCAGCCTGACTGAAGAGGAATTTGCTGTTATTAGACAATGTGGTAGTTTGGATCAACTGTATGTATCCTTCAACAATCTTTCATCTACCGGGGTGACAGATATTGCAGAAGAAATAGCAAGGAATAGGAATGAAATAGCAAGTGCCTTAATTGCAATTTTGGAGAGGTTTGTGCAAGATCATCCTGAAATAAAGCACCTGGTGTTGTCAGCGTCCCCCAAAATCGAAATTCCATCATGTGCACAGCCCTAAAGGAGTTTCTTGCAAGGTCTGAAATCCAAAGCATCAAGCAAAAGTTCTGTGAACAGATATGCGTTTGCACCTTTCAGTCTATCAGTGCTCAAAGAAGCACCTTCCTTGAGCAAAGATAAGATCAAAGACCTCAGATCTATGCTCAAATGTTTGCCTCAAGATGATAAGGCGTATATGCTTACGGTCTGTCAAGGTCAATAAACTATCTCTTTGCTCCAAGTGAAGTACAGTTTGTACTCAGGTTCAAGTGATCGATCTCCAACTTCACAAAGGTTAACATTGATCATAGATTATTTGTGCTGAAAACAAGATGATTTGTTCTGTAGCAATTGGACACATGGTTTGAGCACATACCATTTTGTTCTTAAACACTATCTGGATTAAATTAAAGTTATTGCTGAAGTTTATGTTACCGTGTGGCTGAAAGATTTGTATTTTACTAAGGGAATGAGTTCTAAAAGTTGTTCAACTATTTTGTATGAAAAGGTTATCAGACTTTACTTTGATATGTTAGGAACATGAGTTTAAGAAAAGATTTGTTGTTGCAAATCCAAATGAGATGCTTGTCAACACAGATTAATCTGTAATATTAAAAAAATTGAATATTTACTTTGATGATGTGACTTACCGAATGGGCAATGGAGTTTTCTATACAAATTTAGATAGAACACTTAAATAATCAGACAAAATCCAAATCATTGTGGTGAACTGTTCTATCTCTTCATTTTATCAATTTTGAAGCCATTTGGGACATATTTTGTCACCATTGTGTCGTTTCTACTAAATAATTAAAGAATAACACACATTTGGCACCATGTTACATGTCACACAGTATGGAGTGCTTTGATGGGAACACCACAAACTTTCAAACTTGATTTCCCGCAAAGTAGGAAAAAGTGAGTTGGAACAAAATAATTCTGAGGCAGCGACACTTACTTACCACTGAGCAAGATAACAGTGATTAATCAATCAACATATTTTCTGTTGATCCTCTGATGGCTAGGACATAAATGGAGGAATGATCCGTTGATGACATAAAAGTAAATCAACTGATCGTTCATCTCTTCCTGGGCTGCCACATGTATATTACATACACAAGTGTATGGTTATACCAGAAAACATGGATGACAACAAGGGAGTAGTAATTGTATTATCCAAGCAATCCGAAAATCCAAAAATGCTTTCACTGCAGGGATCCTTTTTTTTTTATCAAACTGTATCATCAATACCGTCCAAATAACGACATCTGATGATCTTCCATCGTTCTTTTTGTCTGTTTGTTTAGGCTGAAGAAATTAATTAACATGCACCCTTTGTCAAAATCTTCATAGATCATGGTTAACCAATCAGTGTTCAAAAATGCGTAAACAAATATTGCATCCAAGTTTATTTAGCTGTCGTTGCAGATGGTAGCCCAGTCTTGACACGCTCAGTTGCGTTAGCGAGCAAATGGACTCACGGCAGCTAATGAGCCCTAGCAGCCAGTGTCAGACAGCCGAGAAGAAGCCAGGGATTACTGCCCCTTTATATTATCACTGAGTGGTAATTGGCAATGGACAATGGGCAAACGGGAGGTGGAGGGTAATTAAAACAGATAGATAAAAGAATGGAAATAGCAATGGCCAAATGGAAGCCAGCTAGATAATTAGCACTGACAAAGATCAAAGCAATAAATCCCAAGCACAAGGCAGACAGGTACCCTGGTCACGGTTCATGGCTGGCTGGTGTCACCTGATGTCAATGGCTTCTTGTAGTTTTCTTTATTGTTGGTAGACAGGACTTTGTTGGCTTCTCATTTAATGTTATGGTCTTGGTTCTTGAAGATGTGTTCGGAAATAGCAGATTTCAGGTATGTTGACAGAGATCTGATGTTCTTTAAGTCTGGTGTTGAGGACTCTGAGGGTTTCTCCAATGTATTGGCGGCCACAGTTGCAGGGGATCTGGTTTATACATCCTCGGGGGTTGAGACTTACACTGCTTGTGCCTCTGCAATTGGTTGGTAGATATAGGTCTTGATGGACTTGCCACTAGAAAAGGGGACATCTATGTTAGCTTTGTTCTTGATGAGGAGGGAAATCTGATGAGTGACAGGGCCATGGTAGGGTATGGTGATTCTGATGGGTGATGGGGCAGGTTTGGGTCTCGGATCAGAGTTCTTGAGGGTCTTGTGGATGGTTTTGGAGACTAGGTGGGCAGGGTAACTGTTGAGGGACATAGGTGTCACCTTTTCTAGCGGCAAGTCCATCAAGACCCATCTTAAAGCCAATGGCTCATAATAAAGTGTGTATCACTTCTAAATGCCTTTCAAAGACTTGAAAAAATAACATTCTTTCCGAAATTTAACATCAGTTAATATTTCGTTGAAATGATCCCCTACAAAAGACCTATGACCTGTAGTACATCTAAGAAGTCATAATGACCCCCAGTTTTAAGAGGCTGTGGCAAACCCTGAGAATTGATTGTGGTTCAACAATAGAACTGATTGTGTGTCAACAATTGACCACACCTAACAATGAGCTCTTCGCAACAAGGTACAACCATCAGTTCCCAGTCTGCATACAACTTCCATGTGTATGTGTTCCTACCAGTGGCAGTGCTACCCAGAGTCCTGCAGAAGTTGAGGTATAAAAGAGGCAGATATGTCTGCTTTTGGAAGTGGCTTATTGATTAGCCCAGAAGATTGTGGTTCCCAGAGCAAACAAAGATCTCAGGAAACCCGGTCATGGAGCACCCTCTGTGGCTGAAGCAACTAATCAAACCCCTCATGAAGCAGGATCACCTGAGTCATAGCTCATTGGCTCTGCACATGTGGAGCATTTGCAGAAGGCATGGATGACTCCTGGTGTTTCTGTGAGAGACGGATAGGCTATTGTGTGGGCTCACAGGAATTCTACTTATGTGGCAGCCATTTATACAGTTCTGGCAGCTTCGAGATCAGCACAGTGCCAGAAATCACAGCTATGTTAAAGGGCGCTTATAAAGCGCTTCAGACCTGCGTCTTGCAGTCTTGTAAAGATTGACGGAAATTTGGTTGGAAGAAAAGTGAATATAATATAGCGATTTAACAGTTGAACTTCTGGTTCAGCGACAAGTCCCTTGTTTTAGGCTTAATGCAAGATATGTATATACCAGGAAGTAAACAAAAATCAGGATAATTTTATGGGGAAATAATAGCATAGTCACGGTATAAAACAAATTCAACTGGAAAGAGATCTAAAGACCATGACTTGACTTTTATTTAAACAAGTAAAACATATGCTCACTTGAAAGAGTCTGTCAAATAATCGTTACTTGTTGTTGAATCAGTTTACACAGTTATGTGTTGCTGAGATGTGCAGACTGACAAAAGTGTAGTTTTCCTTTTGTAGTCATGAGATGAGAGCTAGTGACTTTGAGCCGACTGACAGAACACTATGAACGCACATTTGAATTTTGTGTTACCAATATAACATTTCAACATGTTCAAATCGATGTCACTCCACTATGTGGTGATAAAAAACCAATACACTAGCTATACAGGTCTAGTAAGAACTGTTCAGACTGTTCTGAAAGTGTTCTCTCCATTAGAAGAATATTAGCTTGTAGCTGGCTGTTACTGTAGGTCCTTACTGAGGTGCTCTTGTTTCCACAGGGGTATGACTGTGACATCAGGCAGTGTGGTGCTGCAGAAAGACACTCAGAACTTGATTGGGATCAGCATCGGTGGTGGCGCCCCACTCTGTCCATGTCTATATGTGGTGCAGGTGTTTGACAACACACCGGCTTCCAAGGAGGGCTCACTGGCTGCGGGGGATGAAATCGTTGGCGTTAACGGACAGTCTGTCAAAGGACGCACCAAGGTGGAAGTAGCCCGAGCTATACAATCTATAAAGGTATTCCCAGTAATAGCTTGTAATTTCTGCTTTGTTTATTTGTGAACATTGATCAACTTTAACTGCTCAATGGTTTAAATGATTAAATTAGTTTTATTTAATGTTGATGGGCATGTATGTGTCTATCTGTGTTTTTGTGATATGTGACAAAAGTGTGATGTGTGTGGTGTTCCAATTGTTTGAAATCTTTTATGATAGGTTTGTTTCAGTTTCCAAACAAGGAATCCACCAGGAAATCAGTTATCGAACAAGTTCCAATAATCAGGTTTATGTCAGTCAGTTTTATATAATTGAGTGAAGTGGTGCAACCACCATTCATGCTGTAATAAAGAAATTGTTTACACATACGAAACTCCTCTTTGTTGATTGTTTGTATGCATAAATTTGATCCAATCATAATATCATAAAATTGATAATAAAATACTAGCCCATATACTTAACTAGCATATATTCCTTCCAATCTTATTAAAGTAGGATGTTTTCCTCCAATACAATAACGGGTACCTCTCTGCATGAAGATCTGAGGACACCTCCATAGAAGGTCGCGTAAGATGAACTTTCTAACCAGCCAATCAATGCCAAGGCTTCTAAATTCTTAGAAGGAATGTGTGAATCATTCAGTCCTGCATGTCTGCTCCATGACCGGGTTTCCTGAGATCTTTGTTTGCTCTGGGAACCACAATATTTAGACACATCACAACACGTAACATAGACACAGTGCATGCTATATAGAAAGATCACATGTCATAAAAACACAGTGTGGACTACTCAAAGTTTGGTAAGGATCACCGCTTTAAAATGTAATACGTCAAAGTGTCAGAGCCAGAGACAATATTATGTGAAGACATGTTGAATGGACAAAGGTCTCTTGTCATGTGCCAAACTATGCCAACAAACAAAATGTGACCAATAATCAGTCAGATCTCCCGTCAAAATGAGAGTATCAGACCAAACTGAAACATAAAAAAATTAACGAAAACAATTTCATTGTACAAAAAAAACAACCTCATTAGCATGCATGTGATCAATGTGATCTGCAGCTCATTCCAAATGTGTTCGATATTGTTGAGGTCTAATGACCAGGCTGGCCTATCAATGCAGACAATGGTCTCCTCACTCTCCTGCCCTAAATAGGCATCAACGACACTGGCACAGTACACACCCAAAATGTCATCCCTGTATCACACAGCTACTGATCCCACCCCAAATCATGATTGAGCCTCACGGAGATGATTTCGCACTACCGTTACGCAGGTCATGGAGGCAGTCAAGAGGTGATGATGTCTTGCTGCAATCAGGAGAAACCTGTCTTCATGTTGCGTGGTGGAACACTTTCGACCACCTGCATGTCGCTGGGTAGATGATCAAAACGTCTAGTATCGATTCTATGCCCTGCTGATCACACTTTGGCTGATACCAAAAACATTTGCAATGTGACGTTGTGTTGACCCAGTTTCAAGCATGCCTATGCATCTGCCTAATTCTTCCGTCATTGTGGTGCTCTCTGATAATGATGTACAATTCTGTCACGATACACCCAAACACAGGCTTTCAAGCTCACCAAGCCCATGACTGCATACCTCTTACCGTTCTTCATGCAGAGAGGTAATGTAAGGGTTTATGTATCTTCCACTGTCTGTATTTGTCTGTGCATCAAAGACTTTATCTATATGATATTATTGTGCAGTTCATGAAATACTGTGTCTATTTGACATATCATATGTCTTTCTAACCTGCACTGTGTCTTTATGATGTGTCTATATATCATGCATTGTGTCTATTTGACATGTGATGTGTCTATTGTAAAGGGTACTTCAAATATGTAATGTGTCTGTTTGACATGTGATCTGTTTATGTATCATGCACTGTCTATGTATCATGCACTGTGTGTGTGTATCATGCACTGTGTGTGTATCATGCACTGTCTCTGTATCATGCACTGTGTCTATTTGACATGTGATCTGGCTATATATCATGCACTGTGTCTATTTGACATGTGATGAGTTTATGTATCATGTCTGTATATCATGCACGGAGTGTGAATCATGCACTGTGTGTGTATCATGCACTGTGTCTGTGTATCATGCATTGTGTCTGTGTATCATGCACTGTGTCTGTATATCATGCACGGTGTGTGTGAATCATGCACTGTGTCTGTGTATCGTGCACTATGTCTGTGTATAATGCACTGTGTCTGTGTATCATGTACTGTGTCTAAGTATCATGCACTGTGCCTGTTTATCATGCACTGTCCGTGTATCATGTACTGTGTATCACGCACTGTGTCTATATATCATGCACTGTGTCTATGTATCATGTACTGTCTTTGTATCATGCACTGTGTCTGTGTATCATGCACTGTGTCTGTGTATCCTGCACTGTGTCTGTGTATCATGCACTGTGTCTGTGTATCATGCACTGTGTCTGTGTATCATGCATTGTGTCTGTATATCATGCACTGTGTCTGTATATCATGCACAGTGTGTGTGAATCATGCACTGTCTAAGTATCATGCACTGTGTCTGTATATCATGCACTGTGTCTGTGTATCATGCACTGTGTCTGTATCATGCATTGTATCTGTGTATCATGCACTGTGTCTGTATATCATGCACGGTGTGTGTGAATCATGCACTGTCTGTGTATCATGCACTATGTCTGTGTATAATGCACTGTCTGTGTATCATGCACTGTCTGTATATCATGCACTGTCTGTGTATCATGCACTGTGTCTGTGTATTATGCACTGTGTCTGTATTATGCACTGTGTCTGTGTATCATGCACTGTGTCTGTTTATCATGCACTGTGTGTGTATCATGCACTGTGTCTGTGTATCATGCACTGTGTCTGTGTATCATGCACTGTCTGTGTATCATGCACTGTGTCTGTGTATAATGCACTATGTCTGTGTATCATGCACTGTCTGTGTATAATGCACTATGTGTGATGTGATGTGTGTAATTATCATGTAATTATCATGTATCCATGGTCATGCTGCAGGCAGAGGTGACCATCAACTACAACAAGCTTCATGCAGATCCTAAACAAGGAAAGACTTTAGATATAGGTATGTGTATGGAACCGTTTGAAAAAATATTTGCAGATGAAAATCTTTGAGTAAACAAGATAATATGTGATTATGTATTTATTGATTACATATTTGTATTGGTCAAGTCATAGTAATATTTACCCATAGAAACATAATTAAAAGTTCAAGTTCTCATACTGTCCTGTACGTGGTAACTCTGTGCTCTGTTGCCCATGTGGCTTCTTGATTGCACAAGGTTTAATGCTAGGACAGATATTTGTTTTATTCTAAGTTTATCCTTTTGTGATTGTTGTTGTTTCCACGAACAAAAAATAAGGTTGTTACATTACTATTTCTGAAAAGGTTGTCATTGTAAAGGATACTACAAATATGTAACTAAGGTATCTTTTTGAACCAAATTCAAACTATGCAAAGATACTCAATCATACGTGTGAACAGAGGTGTACAGCATCTGTCTGCAAGAGTAGGTGGCCAAACAATTTAAATAATGAACTTTTTCTGTCTTTGTTCACTTTCTAGGGGCTGTAGATTTGATATCCATAAACAAAAAGTGCCATATCCCCAGTGGAGATGTGCCCAGTGTATCTTGATCATGTTGATCTGTGTAAAACCTTCCTTTTCCAGTACTAAAGAAAGTGAAGCACCGTGTGGTGGAAACAATGAACTCCAACACTGCAGATGCTCTTGGCCTGAGCAGAGCTATCCTGTGTAATGGTAGGTGGGACTTGGCATCAATAACATTGCTGAATGGTGTATGTCTGTGGTGTATTAGGACAGGTAGTCATGGATCTGTCATATGGGCTGGAGCTTGTGAAGATGATACAGCAACATGTCTGTTCAGAGAATGTCTTGGTCAGGTAGGCAAATCGAATGTGCTTAGGGTTTGGAGCTATGGATTATTGTTGATAGGATTCTTGGATCCATCAGTGTATATATTAATCTAGCTGTCCTTTGTAGTTTGAGGTCGTGGTGGTCGTCGTCGTGGTTCGTGGTCGCTCGTTAGTCATCGTGCCATACAGTCATCATGGCCTACTCTGAGAAATCAAGCAACAAGTCCCTCCCTAGGGAACTTGTAGGAGTTATACTCCCTCTCCTCTCTTTTAGGGTAGCCCACTATACCCTCAACGCCGACCTCTCGGCGGGTACAAAAGCGCTTACCATTACTTTTAATGGCAACCAGCGCAAACAGCCCTGACACAGGAGACAACCTAATCAACCTCAACAGCCTATTCACGACCCTGTCTCGGACACAGCCTCAGCCCGGGATACCGACATGCATGAAACCAATCAAGCCCAAGCCCAAGTCCCTGGGACTCATGTGACTATTTCTTCTCAAACTTTGCCTGTATCAATCTCATCTAACCAGTCTATGGACCCTCCCCCCTCCAGTCCTATTTCACCCCTACCCCCCACCCCCACCTCTGACTCCACCCCCTCTGGCGCTCCCACCCAGGAGAAAAAAAGGAAAGGAATTAGTACCCCCACCCCACCCCCCCTACTAGACCCATGCTACCCAGACTAAAATAACACCTATCCCCCAAACCCACTGTCTAGGCCAAACTACACAAACTCTGGAAATTGAAACCCCCTCCCCCCCCCCTCACCCAAAGCCACCACCATAGACTCCCACACCTCACCCATCAAGGCCCCTGAGTTCTTGACCATCCCCACTCAAACCGACCCCTTTCAAAAAACATTTGTCACAGAAACCCAGCTAACCTCTGACCTCACGCAGCATGCAGATCAAATCCTCTCATCTCATTACCTCCTCCCAACACCCCAACACTTGAAGCCCCTGGCATACGCATTTATAAAAGTACCCATGACAGATCAAAACTCACCATTATCCAATATTTAAATCAAGAGCGCTTTGAACATGAAATTTCCACCATCCAAGATTAAATTCCTTCCTCATTGACATTCAAGAACAGGGCATTCAACTAACTTCCCAGTTTATCACAAATACAACAGCCCATTTTATAAAAAAATCCTACCTCCAGCTCTCCCTTCATGACTACAAACTAACTAAATTTCTGCTAAGCGGCTCCCTTGCCTCTAACACTGTTACACATAGCCCTCCACGTGCCCTCCTATCCACCTTCGCCATCCCCGTCATCCAAATCACTAATCGCCACACTCACCACTGTAAAAATATTTAGAACCTTCCAAATAAAACAAAGTCACTCAATGATGGTCAATGTAAACAAACTTCTTCCATTTCGGATCGGGATCGAAATATCACAGTGGACCGTCTTCTACGACGTCCGCGCAAAAAACTTTCACTTATCCATACCACTAACTTAGGTAGCCAATTAACCAGCCACTCGACATGCACCAACGCACACACGCCAACTCCAGCCATGCCCCCTCTCCCCTTCCCAGCCATTCTATTCCCTTTTTTCTTTCTTTATTAACTCCCATTATAATTAAATTACAGCCTAACTGTAATCATCTCACCCACTATGCCTTACATTTATTAGTATAGTTTAGACAATAAGATCAATTCTTATCTCTCCCTTTCCCTACTTTAGGTTTATGCCCCCTTCATTTACAGTTTTTTGGGTATGGTGTTTATCTTTTTATTTGTTATATATTTAAAGTTATTAACCCACCTACCCCGACTGCGAAATTGCCTGAGGTAGAAGCGGTCGTAAAAAATCTTTAAATCTCTCTCTCTCTCTGTCGTTTGAATTTTTGTAATGGCTACTGATCGTAGTCGGGTTGGGTTTTCCTTCTTATTGACTTCTGATGTAAAGGCAGTGTCAACTTTGGGATATTAAAAAGGCGAAGAATTGTGTAACCCTTTAAAGTGACTCCCTGGTGTCTGAATGTCATAACAGTCAATACAGATGAGAATACATACTATTATCCCAGATAGCTTCAGTAAGGGATTTTTCCAAGTTATGGTTTCTTCTTGGATATTTTAGTCATGCCATATTTTTTCAAAAAAGTGTTAGCATCCCCAGAACTATAATTTTGCCTGATCTCTTCTAAGTTTCAGTGGGTGTTCTCGTGTATTTACTTGTAGTGCTTCTCGTTCTAGTGAGGTAACTGTTGCTGCATCTGTGGACAGTATTTGATTCTGTGTGAAAGGCCTTACTTACTTACTTACTTTGGAGATTTAACGTGCGCTTTCAGACTGATGCGCATTTCGCACACGGGCCCGGCCAGGCCATTTAATGTGTTTCCGAAAGGGGCGAAAGTGGTCTGTGCAACCCAAGAGGGGGGGTTTAGGGGCTGCTTATATAGAATTTGGGAATTTTGAGATTTGGAATATATGTCGATGGGGTTGGGGAGGAGAACTAAGGGAGCTAGGTATGGTGGATGTTTGTTTGTTTATGTGATTTTGACTTAGTGGCATTTCTCCTGTTAAGGCCTGAAGTGAGGTGTAGGAGGTGCCATGTTGGGTGCGTGTAATTAGTTTGAGAGCCTGATATTGTATTGAGTCAAGTTTTTTAGATAGAGAGTTGTTTAGGGTGTTGTATATGGCACAGCCGTAGTCTAGTTTTGATCTAATTAGTGATATGTAGAGAGAGAGGAGGGTATCTTTGGAGGCTCCCCAGTTAGAGCCAGTTAGGCATCTTAGGGTGTTTAGGTCTTAACTGCATTTAGTTCTTAGGTTTTGGATGTGAGCATCCCAGGTGAGATGTTCATCGAAAATAAGTCCTAAGAATTTGGTTTGTTTTTGAAATTTGATTGTTTGATTGTTTAGCTGGAGGATTATGTTTGAATACTATTCCAGTTGTTTTTTCTGAGTTAAGGGAGAAGCCCCATTTGTCAGCCCTTTGTTGTATTTTATTAAGAGATTTTTGGAGTAAATTTTGGACCATTTTCATGCTTTTAGTGCGGATCCAGATGGCTCCATCATCCGCGAATTTTGATGTGTTTACTTTAGGGGATAGGCCCTCGAATAGATCGTTTATCATTATATTGAAGAGGGTGGGGCTGAGGATACTGCCCTGTGGAGTGCCATTTTCTAGGGGACATTGGTCCGATAGTGTTTGGTCTATACCCACGGTTATTTTACGATTGTTTAGGAAGTCCTGGATGTAGTTTATTATGTGACCTTTGAGTCCTATTTTTTTAAGTTTTTGTATTAGCCCATCGTGCCATACCATGTCGAAAGCTTTAGAGAAGTCTAAGAAGATGCCTGTGGTATATTGTTTATTTAGTTGTCCTGTCTTAATATCTTGTTCTAGTCGGGCAAGGTTATCTAGGGTTGATCGGCCAGGAGTGAAACCGCTTTGATCTGGGTTTATGATGTTATTTTGGGTTAAGTAATGTTGTAATCTATTTTTTAGCCATTGATTCCATTACTTAACATAAGTTTGAAGTTAGGGATATTGGTCTATAATTAGCTGGTTTATTAGGTTTAAAGGCCTTACAACCATTGGCTATCTTATCTGATACGTAATTTCTAGAGGTGCAGCTGAGTATACAAAGATGTGACTGAAATTGAGATTTACAAGACTGAGATGTAGGTGTGTGTACAAGACTGAGATGTAGGTGTGTCTACAAGACTGAGATGTAGGTGTATGTACAAGACTGAGATGTAGGTATGTGTACAAGACTGAGATGTAGATGTGTCTACAAGACTGAGATGTAGGTATGTGTACAAGACTGAGATGTAGGTGTGTCTACAAGACTGAGATGTAGGTGTGTGTACAAGACTGAGATGTAGGTGTATGTACAAGACTGAGATGTAGGTGTATGTACAAGACTGAGATGTAGGTGTATGTACAAGACTGAGATGTAGGTGTATGTACAAGACTGAGATGTAGGTGTATGTACAAGACTGAGATGTAGGTGTATGTACAAGACTGAGATGTAGGTGTGTGTACAAGACTAAGATGTAGGTGTGTGTACAAGACTGAGATGTAGGTGTGTCTACAAGACTGATATGTAGGTGTATGTACAAGACTGAGATGTAGGTGTGTCTACAAGACTGAGATGTAGGTGTGTGTACAAGACTGAGATGTAGGTGTATGTACAAGACTGAGATGTAGGTGTATGTACAAGACTGGGATGTAGGTGTATGTACAAGTCTGAGATGTAGGTGTATGTACAAGACTGAGATGTAGGTGTATGTACAAGACTGAGATGTAGGTGTATGTACAAGACTGAGATGTAGGTGTATGTACAAGACTGAGAATGAGATGTAGGTGTATGTACAAGACTGAGATGTAGGTGTGTGTACAAGACTGAGATGTAGGTGTATGTACAAGACTGAGAATGAGATGTAGGTGTATGTACAAGACTGAGATGTAGGTGTATGTACAAGACTGAGATGTAGGTGTATGTACAAGACTGAGAATGAGATGTAGGTGTATGTACAAGACTGAGATGTAGGTGTATGTACAAGACTGAGATGTAGGTGTGTGTACAAGACTGAGATGTAGGTGTATGTACAAGACTGAGATGTAGGTGTATGTACAAGACTGAGATGTAGGTGTGTCTACAAGACTGAGATGTAGGTGTATGTACAAGACTGAGATGTAGGTGTATGTACAAGACTGAGATGTAGGTGTATGTACAAGACTGAGATGTAGGTGTGTCTACAAGACTGAGATGTAGGTGTATGTACAAGACTGAGATGTGGGTGTGTGTACAAGACTGAGATCTAGGTGTGTGTACAAGACTGAGATGTAGGTGTGTGTACAAGACTGAGATGTAGGTGTATGTACAAGACTGAGATGTAGGTATGTGTACAAGACTGAGATGTAGGTGTATGTACAAGACTGAGATGTAGGTGTGTGTACAAGACTGAGATGTAGGTATGTGTACAAGACTGAGATGTAGGTGTATGTACAAGACTGAGATGTAGGTGTGTGTACAAGACTGAGATGTAGGTGTGTGTACAAGACTGAGATGTAGGTGTGTGTACAAGACTGAGATGTAGGTGTATGTACAAGACTGAGATGTAGGTGTGTGTACAAGACTGAGATGTAGGTGTGTGTACAAGACTGAGATATAGGTGTATGTACAAGACTGAGATGTAGGTGTGTCTACAAGACTGAGATGTAGGTGTGTCTACAAGACTGAGATGTAGGTGTGTCTACAAGACTGAGATGTAGGTATGTGTACAAGACTGAGATGTAGGTGTATGTACAAGACTGAGATGTAGGTGTGTCTACAAGACTGAGATGTAGGTGTGTGTACAAGACTGAGATGTAGGTATGTGTACAAGACTGAGATGTAGGTGTGTCTACAAGACTGAGATGTAGGTGTATGTACAAGACTGAGATGTAGGTGTATGTACAAGACTGAGATGTAGGTGTATGTACAAGACTGAGATGTAGGTGTGTGTACAAGACTGAGATGTAGGTATGTGTACAAGACTGAGATGTAGGTGTATGTACAAGACTGAGATGTAGGTGTATGTACAAGACTGAGATGTAGGTGTGTGTACAAGACTGAGATGTAGGTGTGTGTACAAGACTGAGATGTAGGTGTGTGTACAAGACTGAGATGTAGGTATGTGTACAAGACTGAGATGTAGGTGTGTGTACAAGACTGAGATGTAGGTGTATGTACAAGACTGAGATGTAGGTGTGTGTACAAGACTGAGATGTAGGTGTATGTACAAGACTGAGATGTAGGTGTATGTACAAGACTGAGATGTAGGTGTGTGTACAAGACTGAGATGTAGGTGTATGTACAAGACTGAGATGTAGGTGTGTCTACAAGACTGAGATGTAGGTGTGTGTACAAGACTGAGATGTAGGTGTATGTACAAGACTGAGATGTAGGTGTATGTACAAGACTGAGATGTAGGTGTGTGTACAAGACTGAGATGTAGGTGTGTGTACAAGACTGAGATGTAGGTGTGTGTACAAGACTGAGATGTAGGTATGTGTACAAGACTGAGATGTAGGTGTGTGTACAAGACTGAGATGTAGGTGTATGTACAAGACTGAGATGTAGGTGTGTGTACAAGACTGAGATGTAGGTGTATGTACAAGACTGAGATGTAGGTGTATGTACAAGACTGAGATGTAGGTGTGTGTACAAGACTGAGATGTAGGTGTATGTACAAGACTGAGATGTAGGTGTGTGTACAAGACTGAGATGTAGGTGTGTGTACAAGACTGAGATGTAGGTGTATGTACAAGACTGAGATGTAGGTGTATGTACAAGTCTGAGATGTAGGTGTATGTACAAGTCTGAGATGTAGGTATGTGTACAAGACTGAGATGTAGGTGTATGTACAAGACTAAGATGTAGGTGTGTGTACAAGACTGAGATGTAGGTGTATGTACAAGACTAAGATGTAGGTGTATGTACAAGACTGAGATGTAGGTGTGTGTACAAGACTGAGATGTAGGTGTGTCTACAAGACTGAGATGTAGGTGTGTCTACAAGACTGAGATGTAGGTGTATGTACAAGACTAAGATGTAGGTGTGTGTACAAGACTGAGATGTAGGTGTATGTACAAGACTAAGATGTAGGTGTGTGTACAAGACTGAGATGTAGGTGTATGTACAAGACTAAGATGTAGGTGTATGTACAAGACTGAGATGTAGGTGTGTGTACAAGACTGAGATGTAGGTGTGTCTACAAGACTGAGATGTAGGTGTATGTACAAGACTGAGATGTAGGTGTGTGTACAAGACTGGGATGTAGGTGTATGTACAAGACTGGGATGTAGGTGTATGTACAAGACTGAGATGTAGGTGTGTCTACAATACTGAGATGTAGGTGTATGTACAAGACTGAGATGTAGGTGTGTGTACAATACTGAGATGTAGGTGTGTGTACAAGACTGAGATGTAGGTGTGTGTACAAGACTGAGATGTAGGTGTATGTACAAGACTGAGATGTAGGTGTATGTACAAGACTGGGATGTAGGTGTATGTACAAGACTGAGATGTAGGTGTGTCTACAAGACTGAGATGTAGGTGTATGTACAAGACTGAGATGTAGGTGTATGTACAAGACTGAGATGTAGGTGTATGTACAAGACTGGGATGTAGGTGTATGTACAAGACTGAGATGTAGGTGTATGTACAAGACTGAGATGTAGGTGTGTCTACAAGACTGAGATGTAGGTGTGTGTACAAGACTGAGATGTAGGTGTATGTACAAGACTAAGATGTAGGTGTGTGTACAAGACTGGGATGTAGGTGTATGTACAAGACTGAGATGTAGGTGTGTGTACAAGACTGAGATGTAGGTGTGTGTACAAGACTGAGATGTAGGTGTGTCTACAAGACTGAGATGTAGGTGTATGTACAAGACTGAGATGTAGGTGTATGTACAAGACTGAGATGTAGGTGTATGTACAAGACTGAGATGTAGGTGTATGTACAAGACTGAGATGTAGGTGTGTGTACAAGACTGAGATGTAGGTGTGTGTACAAGACTGAGATGTAGGTGTGTGTACAAGACTGAGATGTAGGTGTGTGTACAAGACTGAGATGTAGGTGTATGTACAAGGCTTAGATGCAGGTGTATGTACAAGACTGAGAATGAGATGTAGGTGTGTCTACAAGACTGAGATGTAGGTGTATGTACAAGACTAAGATGTAGGTGTATGTACAAGGCTTAGATGCAGGTGTATGTACAAGACTGAGAATGAGATGTAGGTGTATATACAAGACTGAGAATGAGATGTAGGTGTGTCTACAAGACTGAGATGTAGGTGTATGTCCAAGGCTTAGATGCAGGTGTATGTACAAGACTAAGATGTAGGTGTATCTACAAGGCTTAGATGTGGGTGTGTCTACAAGACTAAGATGTAGGTGTATGTCCAGAACTACAATGTAGATGTATGTACAAGGCTTAGATGCAGGTGTATGTTATAGATGGGCTGGTCAAGAAGTTGGAGGAGCTGGAGAACACAGGTGGCATGTACCAGGGGCTCATTGACCAGACCAAAAGGCTGTTGAAGGCCACCTTTGACCTGTCCAAATCTCATAAAGGTATTTGTTGTTAAAAGCAACATTATCAGTATCTATTTACATAAGTTTGTCGGACAGTCTATATTAGGCAAAGCTTGAAATGGTTTGAATATCATTTGTGCAAAATGAAGGATATTTTTTTCTCTTTCTCTTTTTTGTAGTACATTCATGTCATGTAGACTGATATTTTTTTTATTTAATCTCTTTAAGGTCTGGGAGACGAACATGTCATGGTATATGGAAGGTTTACCTTTGATTGTAAACTTATGCTAGCTGTAAGTTTTCGAATTATCCAGATTATGTTGTCTGTGTTATTTGTTTGTAGCACTGAAGTATGTGTGTGGTTAAATTCACAGCCTTTGGTGAGGTGTTCAACTGTATTGGGATGAGGGAGCCACAGCCTGCTGCTGGGGAGGCCTTCACTAAGTTTGGAGAAGCTCACAAGAACATGGAAAAGTTTGCCATAAAAATGCTGAAGACTGTAAAGCCAGTAAGTAGCAGTGGGACAGACAGGCATACTATGTCAGTGGGTCTTAAGTATTCATGACTTGCCCATTGCATTTTAAATTTTTCTGTGTATTTCAGTGCATCAAAAACAGTTCATAAAGACAGTTTGAAATCGTATCGTACTTCATCAGTACCGTATTTTCTTGAGTATAGTGCGCACTCGAGTACAATGCGCACCCCCCTCTAGCAGATTCAGTATTTTGAAATATTTTTTTTTAATAATATTATGCACAGAAAAAATTACACCGTACCCCTTCAGCGAATTCCAGTAAACGAACTGGTGATGAGAAACTTGGTCAGTACAAATTTGAAATTAAAGATAAAAAAATCAGCAGACATGTTGATGTACCATTGAAATTGTATTTTTTGTTCTGCTAGGCTTTGTTTAATATCCAGGGATAAAGATTACCTTGTGTAATTTCTCGTAAACTAAACCAGAAATAGCGATCAGCTGTTCACACATTTTCATGGAATCTATCGGTGATTCGGTCAAGACACACCCAATACTTTACAGGGTTTTAATGCAAGGATCGGCAAAACTTGTATCTGAAACTTTTTTTTTTAATAATATATTCAAATATCTTGTTATTTTAGCTGTAACTAATTATATTTAAAATAATTATGACCCTAAGCGAAGCAGCTGATTGCTATCGCTATTGTTATTTTTCACATGGAACCAGTTTGACCAGTCACCGTCGAGGCCCCAGCGCATGTTCGCGAGAACTACATGTTGACATAGAATTGTCAAACTATAACAAATATGACCTTTAACGAGTCAATGTATGGCATTTATGATAAATGTATCCATTCTCTGTCAACTAAAGTTTGTTTCAAGGCATCAATAGCAGTAATCTGACCGTGGTTGCTGTTAATAACGGTGAGTTGTGCAATCTTCCGATCGCTTTACACCTGATTTTGCCGAAATTAATTCAATCAATATTAAAAGGAATTTTTAATAAAATTTATAAAATATAAAATATAAAATTTATGAACATAAGTCCAGATATACAAAGAACACTTTTTATAGCCAGACTGTGTAATTACATGATTAATTTGCGTACTTCAGTATGGATTTGTTGACATGGTATTTCCGGTGTTGCGTGCTCACGGTAATGTCTTTCTGTTGGGGGAAAAAAACATCAAAACTCATTATTGCATGTTTAATGTGCACCCCCTTCTACCCCCTTCTACACAAGAAAATACGGTAGAGGCTTGTAAATCATTTTGGTCATGCTTCCATGCTTCGTTTTTGTAATGGCTGTCCTCACGGTAATTTATGCACTAGCAGTAAACTATGATGGACGTCACCATGATTACAATCTAAGTGAAACTAATGGCAAGAATGGATCTGCTACAATCATCCATATGAATTAAATTTTTTAACTTATCCTGCATTACTCCTTAATGCATTTACTGCTGTATTTTTTGACAGAAAGACTAAGCTGTGAGAGGTCCAGCTGCAGAAGAAGTTGTTCGAACCAGTGGTGTAGCAGTACCCTCACACAGCCTCCACATGACCTGAATGTGGTGACGTCACATAAGAGCACATTACTGCTTTGTCAGTCAACACGGACAGACATGTTTTGAGATTAAAGCCTCTGCAGTTTTCCAGCATCCTTTGCTTGTTATTAATTAATCATTTTCCCATGCTATTGCGTTGTTGTTTATGGTTTGTGCCTTTTTGGTCTTATCCATACATAATTTATAGTATATTTCCTCTTGTTTGTGGCTCAGTCATGGTAAATATGGGTGTATTGTTGTTCTATTCTGCCATTTTGAATTCACTACGTGGCCACGCTTTTGTGTTGTTAATTTTTTTTATTGTATTGGTAATTCATTACCGATATATTTGTGTATAATACACACTGGTTTTTTCACAATTTTAGACTCCAAACTTAGGGGTGCATATTATACACGAGAACTAAATGTTACCCCCTTTTCCCCAGCCATACAACGGAAGACGACCAATGGAACTTTATGACCAGAAATTACTGGTAGTTAATTCCACTGGGGCGGTATTCATAAAAGAACTAAGTCTGAAAAAAATTTAAGTCTTGAAAAAAACTAAGTTTTTTACCTTTTCTGACTTAAGTTTTAAGATTTTACTTAGGTCATATTCATGAAGCGACTTAGGCTTAATTTTTACCAATTTCTGACTTAAATCTTAAGACTGGGTAGGGGTAGGCTTAACTACAAGGTGTTTGACTTAAGTCAGTAAACAAAATGGCTGCCGTACCGCTAGGTCGTCGTTCGTTTCATCAAAGAAGACAAAGTCTTGTTGAATACAACGATGAGGAGTTGATACGGCGATATCGTTTAGATGGAAATGGCATTAGGTACGTAGCTAATTTAATAGCAGCTGACGTGGAGCCTGCAACCAACCGTGACCACGCACTTGACGAGATACAAAAGACGCTGATCACATTAAGGTACTTTGCAACGGGAAAGTTTCAGTTGTGTAATGCAGATGATCAAGGTGTCACCCAGCCCACCATTTCCTCCTCTTTCGTCCAGTTAGGCTTCCTCTTCTTCATATCTGCCTCTGACATGACGTTGGCAATGTGGACAAAGTTTCGCTGTGTGTGTCGTCTGCCGTAAATAGCAACCAGGAAATCCCACCGAAAAAGACGTTCACACTTTTTTTTTAAAGAGTTCCACCGGAAGTTTAAAAATAGCCGGGATTCCCCCTAGTGATCACGCGGGTAGGTACTACGAAACTGACTTAGTTTTTCTTTTGATACTTAGCTAAGTTTCGGACTTAGCATCTTTATGAATATCAAGTTAAGTCTCAGACTTAGCTAAGTCAGATTTCTAAAACTTAAGTTTAGACTTAAGAAAAATCTTAGTTTCTTTTTGAATACCGCCTCTGATGTATAAGCAGGAATCACAACACATACCTTTATCTTTCTGTGATAATAATGATATATTTAATTTTTATTACCACTTATTTGTTTCAGCTACTTGTTTGTGAATTAATTTGAAAATTAAAACATGTTTGTAAATGTCATTAGTTGAACAATCGATATATCCAACTTTGGAATGAAGGTATTACAACTACCACCTGAACTTCATTTATAAACATTTTCTGAAGACTATATGCGAAGGTCTAAAATGTTACGTCTAGTTTTTAATTAATTGTCGTTTTTAGAAGTAACATAACTTCGTATAAAATCACTGCCACGGGCTAATGTGCATGGCCTATCACATGACCAGACTTTTCTCTCGTCTTTTAACAAACGCTAAGATCAGAACAGACTAAGGCTTTACATATTGTTTTGCATAATTATATAGATATGCTACTAAAACTGTTACTGTTAGGTGCACAACAAAATATATTTATTCATATAAGTGACAGTAACTCTCGCACTCCGTGTGGCTTCGATGACAGCATGTGATGTAAACAAAGGAAAAATATGCAAATGGAAATAGTTTTTCACATTTTGGCATATTTTCTCATTGAAAGTTAACCATGACACATGTTTATCTAGATGTGTAGACTCATCAAAAATGAAAATATTATCATTGTTGCTGTAAATAATGTGATTTGGCGCTGCCACAGTATGTGGTTAAGCGGACCCTATGGAACGGGGTAAATGGAAGTTGTAAGTATCGCACAGACAAACCATGTCGCCGAAATGTAGGTAAACATTGAATGAAATTTTAAATAAAATTAGTTAGATGTACTGTGAACACATTTTTATTACCAGATGATGTAACAAGAGGATTATTTTGCATAATTCAAAACAGATTTGTTGATATGCTATTTCCGATGTCTGTGCTTATCATACACGAGAACAAATTTTTCCAGGATTTAATTGCCCATAATTAGGGGTGCGTATCATACACGAGTTTGTATTATACACAAATAAATACAGCACCCTTTATTTAAATGGTCCAGAAAGCCCTGGAACACTACACTCAACATGCTTCAGCTAAGTATTCCAAGGGGAATTATCTGCCTCGCCCTTAAGGACCACTCTAGACTTCCTCCAGCTTTCAGGACAGAGGGCGATGCTGCAGCAAGTCGCCGGGCAATTACCAGCCTCACCGTGATCGACACCAAGGCAAGGGTGCCGATCAGAAGGGCAAGTGCTGAACTGTTGGACAACAATGACTGGGACCTCACACCCCCAGTCATTCCAGTCACCGCTGTAGAGACTCGACAGGTTTTTGATAAATTGAGCCATACCAGAGGACCCGTATGTCACCAATGTCCTCCGCAAGACACCTACACCCACCATCAGTGCCAACTCCTGTGCGACAACATAAAGGAATATTCTGCTACACAAGGAGGCTTTCAAGATTGTTCATGAGCTGGTCAGACATCTGGGATTCTACTCCACCGTATTTCTGGTCCCAAAGAAGGGGTCAGACAAACTTTGCATGATACACAATCTCACTGATTTCAATCGACACTACCTGGAATGTCCACGTCCACATCCAAGTCCACATCCACATCCACATCCACATTCATGTCCACGTTGAGGCTGCTCAGGACTAAAATCAACGCCAACTATTCCCTGATTAGCCTGATGTCCAGGATGCGCATCTCCATGTGCCCATCCATCCCAGTGACATGATATTCCTCAGGTTCTTCAATGGTATCCATTACCAGTGGGTGGTCCTACCATTTGGAATTTCCATGGCCCATGGCTTTTCACACAAAGCCCATGGCCGCCTATTTGCACCTAAGGAACATCAACTCCTAGTCTTTCATTGCCTCTTCATTTTTTCGGAGACCTGTTTCTCGGCAACTTCCGACCTCTTACAGGTACCCAGGGACAGGTGATATATATAAGATACTCCACCACCTACTCCCAGCTTTTCATCAAGCCCGGACACTCCGCCAACGCACTTCGGCGCAGGACCTGACTTCCAGTGGACAACTCCAGCTATGTCCAACTCAGCAGTTCCTCGCCCCCTTCATCAGGCGCCAGATCCAATCATTGTCCTCTTTATCTTTATCATACTCCCGGTCCACCTGCAACCATTTCTTCGTTGGCGGACAGTTGAGTCAAATGCTTTCGGTGGTGTCTCCTTGACCACACTCAAACCTGCGTTACATCTATTCGTAGACCCCTCCAAACCAGGATGGGGAGCTCATCTGAAGGCTCAGACGACCTCAGGGCTGTAGCCAGCATCACTGGCACAGCAACAAACTAGAATTAGAAGCGCTCATTCTGGCGGTCACGCATTCGGGAACTCTCCACTCTTCATCTCTGCTGTCACAGACATTCTGCTTCTTCAGACTAGTAGACCGTCTCGACTTGCACTTCCTAGCGACACCTTCCCTGTCGCTTAACAGATTCGCTGTCCAGATCAGACAGTGGCTCCCACTGAATGGGAGTTACATCCCAAAGTGATTTGCCGACAGATGGACCATCCGACCTATTTGCCACCGGTCAGAACTCCCAGCTGCGGACCTACATCTCTTCAGTCCCGGGTCCGCAAGCATTGGTAGTTGACGCCCTCAGCGTCCCCCAAGAATTATTACTTCCCAGAATTCTCCAAAGATCAGAGACACTAGGAACCTAGTTCTGATTTTGGTTGCGCCTTGGTGGCTTGTGAGAAGTTGGTTCATCGAGCTCAGAAATCTCGCCAGGGACAATCCATGTCAACTTCAAGTTTGGCCAAATCTACTGATCCAACCACACATCAAATTATCGCATCCGCCCCCCAACAGGTCTTCTGCACACCTGCTACATTTGTAGGGTGCCTTAAGTGACAAGGGCTACTCATCGAGGGATTGAGGGTGGTTAAGACCATAGATTTGGCACACAGACCTTCCACACGGGGTCTATACAATGACAAGGTGAGTTCCTTTAAGTCTTTTTGTAAAGACAGGCGTCAGGATCCCACCTCTGCTTTCCCACAATTCTAGGCTGAATTTTTATACAACAGATGTCACCTCAAGGACTATTTCAACATACCTGGTTGCCATTAATTCGGTGCAAGCCATTCTTGAAGATTGTAGAATGACGAAGATACCGGAATTACAAGCCTTGCTGCGCTCGTTTCAACTGGAAGATCGGAATGTGGTATTGGAGTTGTTATGGGCGGCTCCCTTCGAGAGATTGCATTCATCATCATTTTATGTCCTCACCAAGAAATTGTTTTTTCTTTTGGCAGCTGGGATCAGTGAGCTACACACCCCAAGACGTCTCTTGCATCCGGTTTGAACGCAGAATTTGTGGGGGCGTTCATTGCCAAGAGTCAACTCTCATCACTCATGGGAGCAGAAAATGAAGGAGATCATATTTTATGCCCAGTGCTTTGCGATGTACCTCAGACGTTCTAAAACACAACACAAGTCCAGAAAACACCTTTTTATACCGGTTTCTCCTACTTCGCAGACAAGAGGTTAACTGTAATGGCATCTCCCTATGGCTTTGAGCAGTCATTCTCCAGGCATACGAAGCAGCGGGTTTGAACCACTCCAAAGCCAACAACCCTTATGAGATCTCCTTAGCAGCTGCTCCTTCAAGTCTACTATGGAATTGTGTTTTGGCCCTCCGATACCATCTTTGCCAGCCATTTTGGCCTTAGAGGATGTTGCTGGCATTCATAGTTTTGGTCCCTTGGTAGTGGCTCAACAGGTCACTAACCACCGGTATCATTGATTCTCTCAGACCCACAAGTTGGCCCATCGACCCTCTGGATTTTGACACCCCTGATTAAAGGGCTCACATGCCTTTTCTATCACTGTTCCTTTACATGGGTTTCCCATTGTCTTCACACTCTCGTTTTCCTTTTGACAGGAATGGTCATTGTTTCCGGTCATCGCTCAAGATACTGTAATGGTTATTTGGACCTCTGTTGTTGCTTTCGCAGTGTGGCCACGAGTTTCTCTCAACAACACAAGCATCTGAATAACGTTCCTCACGGCGTCGCCAGACTCTCTCACTGCCATCTGCTGTTGAGATACAGTAACGGCTCTCGTCTGAGAAGAGGACTCTTCTCCACTGCTGGTGGCACCAATCCTGGTGCTGTGTTACCTACTGAAAACGGTCCCGGCAAAGACGTGGTGTCAGAATGGGTCCTCGGTGTGGCCTGTGACGGTGGAGGTGTCTGCTAGTCAATCATTGACGCACGATGTCCGCACTAATGTGTTGCTGGTGTGTCCCCATGGTCTGTCGAGCAGTTTCCGCAGCAGTAACAAAGCCATCTTGAAGACGTCGGGTGGTGACCCTTGGTCTTCCACTGCGTGTTCCGTCATCTGTGGTGTTGGTGGTCTGGTACCGAGATTGTATATGGTCCTTACGTGGACTTGAAATGCATTGGCTACTTGCCGGGCGGTTTGTCCAGCTTGCAATCGTCCAAGGGCTAGGTGTCGCTGATTTCTTGTCAGTCTTGGGATGTGGTTGCAATTCAATAAAGAATGAATGTTATCAAATCTGGATGGATTTTTATAGGGCAAGAAACTGGGGGAACGCATGTGCATTTCAATTTGCATGGAACTGTCAAAAAACAGCAGTAAATGCATTCAGTATACAAATGGGAAAAAAATAATTAGATTTTACTAATTTTGTCAGTTCACTGTATGGCACATGCAAAGTAGTCCTTTCATTAAGAAGGCACTGACAGGTCAGTGTGCACAGAACCTGTAGAACACTGTGCTTACTTTCAGATGATTAGTGATCTCAACACCTTCCTAAACAAGGCTGTGCCAGACACAAGGCTTACTATCAAGAAATACCTGGATGCGAAGTTTGAATACCTGGTGAGTTATGTACACAAGCAGCCTTGTTTTGTGAGCTACTAACTGTCCCATTGTGTTTTCCTAATAGATCCCCCATGCAGATCTGCATCGCACTTAATATGTTTCAGCAAAGTGTATGAGTCGAGATCTCACAAAGATGATTGAAACTGAGAAAAGGTGTGCTTTTCCATCGTGGTTTCCCATGCAATGCGCCAGTGCACAGATGAGTCATGCCATGGTTACAATCCTCGAGCGTGGCTCTAGCTGAAATCCTTTTCAAATCCATGATTACATCTTACTCCCAGCAGCTGTGGAGAAGTTTGGGGGCTTCTAAGAAATTGGGATAAAATCCCTCCAACACTGTTGGCAAAAGTCTTTGTTGAAAAAAGTATAATATTAAGTTTTTAGGTCAAGTTCTTCTGTGTGAGGCTAAAAGCTTATCAATATCGATCAAGCCTGTATATTTACTCTTTATGTCCTATGATGGCATTCAACTTTATGAATGGCTCAAGCCTTTTTGTAATTGTTTTATTTTTAACAAGGACTCAGTGCTAAGTTTGTGTGTGTGTGTTTCAGTCCTACTGCCTGAAGGTGAAGGAGATGGACGATGAGGAGTACAGTTATGCTGCCCTGCAAGAGCCTCTCTACCGAGTAGAGACTGGCAACTATGAGTACAGGTCAGTTACCACACTCCACCAACTGTCAATACGATCACTTACATATGTTCTACCCACTCTATCCACACTCGGCCCATTTCTTACCTTCATTCTACATTCACTCGACTCATGCTCTTGCCAGTCATGTCAAAACTCAATGTCATCCTCAAGGTCATTGCCTGAAGAAACTTCTTTTAGACGATTACTCATGAAGCATTTGGTATATAGGAATAAACCTTGGTGACAGGGCACAACAGCATTGTGTCTTTATTGGACATAAGAGGCTTCGGAGGTGATACACTATTATCATCTTAACTCGGTATGGATAGTTGACAGTGAAGAGGACTTAAAGTGTGATGACACCCAAAATCCAGTATTTCTGTCAATGATGTAATAGAGATAGTAGTGTTTGAATTATTATCCCGCAGCATATATTGCGGGGGGGGGGGATATAGTCTTCATCAGGTCTGTCTGTCCATACATCCATTTGTATTTTATTTCCGGAGCATACGAGGGCTGGCTGAAAAGTTCTAAGCCTAAGTGGGATCTCTCAATCGGATTGAAACAAACTTTTGCCACCAACAAGTATAATCATTTAATGAATCATAGACATAAGAACTGCAACTGTAGTGTTATTATTGTCTTTGTACCAGACCATCTTGTGAACCTAACCATTGAAATCACCAGAAATGGACAAAACTTGCTATAGGGCAGTCATCAAGTACCTGCAACTGAAAGGCTTAACTCCAACACAGATACATGCTGACATGGTCTCCACTTTAGGGGATGATGCCCCTTCCTTTTCCACTGTAAAGAAGTGGGCTGCGGAATTCAAGCGTGGCAGAGAGAGCCTTGACGATGACCCGCGTCAAGGAAGGCCTTCAACAGCAACCATTCCGGAAACATTTACCCGGGTGTATGACATTGTGATGGCTGATCGACGATTGACCACTCAACATATTGCCAGTGTTGTGGGCATCTCTCATGAGAGGGTTGAGCACATTATCACCAACAAGTTGGGAATGACAAAGGTTTCTGCAAGATTGGTGCCAAAGCTCTTGGCAGCGGATCAGAAATGTGTCCGATTCCTGACATCCCGTGACAATTTATGCTGTTTTGAAGCAGATCCCGATGATTTTTTGGCCCGATTTGTAACCATGGATGAGACTTGGATTCATCACTTTCAACCAGAAACCAAAATTCAGTCTAAACAATGGAAGCATCCGGAATCACCAGCCCCCCCAAAAAAGTCAAGTCGGTTCCTTCTGCTGGAAAGGTGATGGCTTCAGTCTTTTGGGATTCCAAGGGTATTCTGCTGATTGACCATCTTGAAAAAGGCCAGACTATCAATGGAAGATATTATACTGACCTACTGAGATAGTTGCGTGAAGCTATCAAAGCTAAGCAACGGGGAATGCTCACTAAAGGAGTCCTGTTCCACCAAGACAATGCTCCTGTTCACAAATCGATGGTTGCTATGTCAGCGATCCATGATTGTGGCTTCGAACTCATTGACCATCCCCCTTATTCACCCGATTTGGCCCCGTCAGACTTCCACCTGTTTCCCAAAATGAAAAAGGAACTAGCCAGTCGGCATTTTCCTAGTAATGATGACGTCATTTCCGCTGTCAATGACTTTTTTTAGGGTGGCTGAAGACAATATCTTCTTGACCGGCATCCAGGCCTTGCCGCATCGCTGGCAAAAGTGTGTAAACCTGGAAGGGGACTATGTGGAGAAATAAATGAAAACCATCGACTTGGTATGGGTCTTTCACAGTAAGGCTTAGAACTTTTCAGCCAGCCCTCATAACTCCCATCTTGGTACATGTATTAATCAGGGGCTGAAGTGGTGCCTTTTGCCATTGTGGGGGCTGGGGAATTTGTCATCTTCTGATGAGTCTTGTTTACAATGATAACTATAGTTTGATTTCTTTTTTTTTTGTAGACTGTTTCATGCATTTGTGTTGTTTGAATATCTATGTATGACTGGTTATCTTTTGATCTCAGAAGTAGGTCATGGTGATCTACTTTCAATGACGAGAATGTGCACTTCCATTTGTAATACCATGTCATGCTCTCAGGGATCCCATATTGTGTAATTTTTTAACTTATCCTGCATTACTCCGTATTGCATTTACTGCTGTCTTTGACAGAGAGACGAACTGTGTGAGATCCAGCTGCTGAAGAAAGTTGTCCCAACCAGCTCAGGAGGCAGCGCCCTCTCACAGTCGGCACGTGACCCGGAAGTCATGACGTCACACCAAAACACATAACTGCTTTGTCACCTCCACGGACGGACGTACTTTGTATCCCTTGTGGAAATTAAAGCTTATTGTTTGTTTTTTATATTTTGCGTGTTTCTACATTCATTATATGCTGCTACATTGTTACCTGTTATGGGCCGTGACCTTAGGGTCTTCCCATTCGTAAATTGTAACGTTTATCGCTCGTTTGTGGCTCACGTCACAGTTATTTACGGGCGCAATGTTGTTCCCGCCATTTTGTTTTCTTTCCCGCCATTTTGGCCATTCACCAATGGCCATGTAATTTCGTGTTCTGCGTTTTGAATTCTCTCTTTGGCTTGGGTAATACATTACATTTATGTATGTTGTTTTGGTGTGCTTAAAGCCTTGACTTTTCGCTACCTTTCAGCGTAATTGTTTCTTCTCATTAACTTCAATATAATACAAAGTTTTTGAGTTACATTATGATTTCTGTGGTTTTGCCACATGGTTACTTGTTTGCTTAAGGCTATGCCTTTTCGCTACCTTTTAGCTTAATTGTTTATCTCATAAACTTCAATAAAATATACTGTTTTTGAGTTACTTTATGCTTCCCATACTTTGTGATTTGGCCACATGGTTATGTGTTTGCTTAAAGCTATGCCTTTTCGCTACCTTTTAGCGTCATTGTTTGATCTCATAAACTTCATTGAAATACAAAGTTTCTGAATCACATTATGCTTCCCGCACTTTGTGGCTTTGCCACATAGTTATGTTTTGCTTAAATTCCAGATTTTCTCCCTCGCTGCACTTGTTGCCGCGGGAACAAATCTGGTCGGGGCCGCCCCTTTCTGCCGTGATTGTACGACGCCCTGTACTTTCACAAGGCAGTGCCGATGTTGCAGTCATTCGTCGCTGTGATCCTTCAGCTCATGCGAGTATCCAGGACACACCTCGCTCAACGTGCTCGTCCACCCCCATCTACGTTGACGGCAGCAGCGCTCAGCGGAGCTTCGCAGTGCTCCCAACACCACCGGCGGCTCCAGCGCACCCAACGTAGAGTCTGCCTCCCATGGCACGACATACGACCGTTCACCGTCTCCAACACCACCACATCAACACTGATGTCTCCGACGCTCCCAGCACCTCCGATGTCGCGGCGCTCCCGGTGCTCCCGGCCCCCCCAGCCCCCCCTGGCGCCTCCGATGTCTCGGCGCCTCTGATGTCCCGGCGCTCCCCGGCTCCCTCTGATGTCCCGGCGCTCCCGTTGCTCTGATGTCTCGGCGCTCCCGGTGCCTCCGCATCCTCTGATGTCTCGGCGCCTCTGATGTCCCGGCGCTCCCGGCGCCTCGGATGTCTCGGCGCCTCCGCATCCTCTGATGTCTCGGCGCCTCCGCATCCTCTGATGTCTTCGGCGCTCCCGGCCCCCCCAGCCCCCCCTGGCGCCTCCGATGTCTCGGCGCCTCTGATGTCTCGGCGCTCCCTGCGCTCCCTGCGCTCCCCGCGCTCCCTCTGATGTCCCGGCACTCCCGGCGCCTCTGATGTCTCGGCGCTCCCGGCGCCTCCGCATCCTCTGATGTCTCGGCGCCTCTGATATCTTGGCGCCTCCGCATCCTCTGATGTCTTCGGCGCTCTCGGAGCCTCTGATGCCTCCGGCGCTCCCAGCCCCCCCAGCCCCCCCTGGCACCTCCGATGTCTCGGCCCTCCCGGCGCCCTCGGCGCCTCTGATGTCCCGGCGCTCCCCGCGCTCCCTCTGATGTCCTGGCGTTCCTGGCGCCTCTGATGTCTTGGCGCTCCCGGTGCCTCCGCATCCTCTGATGTCTCTGCATCCTCTGATGTCTCCGCATCCTCTGATGTCTCCGCATCCTCTGATGTCTCGGCGCCTCCGCATCCTCTGATGTCTTAGGCGCTCCCGGCGCATCTGAGGTCTGCGGCGCCTCTGAGGTCTCTGATCTCAAGATCTTCGACGCCTCTAATGTCTCTGGCGCCTCTGACAACTCCTACTCCAGAGTTACAGCGCTCCCGGCGCCTCCAGAGTTCTGGCGCCTATGATATATCCGGCGCCCTAGATGACCTCCGGCGCCCAGATCAACAAGCTTTATCAAGCTCAGATCAACGAGCCGGGTATCCGATCTACTTCGGCTTAAGGTGCACCATCGGCAATCGCCTCCCCGGCGCCACTGCCCTCTTCTTCTCTTGCTGCCGTCTCATCGTCACACGGAGAAGCATGGTGAAACAACTGTCGCCGCTCCTGTCGCTACTCTCCCGTCGGTCTTCGGGATCGGGACTATCGTTCTACTTCCTGGGTGGAATCTTTTCAACCAATAGACAGTTGGTTTGATTCAACTTTCCCACTGAGACGTTATCCATAATCCCGTCGTTTAAAGCGCTATGATTCCGGAGAGATGACCTGCGGGTTTCCATCGAAACAGAGCGTCATGTGAACAGCGTCTGTATCAGATTCGACGACGACATCCACTTATAAAGAGTTTACTTCGTCGACTCGCCGACACCAACGCTGTTCTACCCTACCCTAGCGCCAGTGTTCCTGAAAGAGAATCTTCCTCAGCGCTCCCTGAGTTTTCCACGACGCCCTTTGGGTGCACCACTTGTTCGTCTCTCACACAGTTCATTGAGGATTGTCTGTGTGTGGAGTTTGCACCTCAGTTCAGACTCCAATGCGGCTTTCTCGGCTACTGCGCAGAGTGATTTACATGTCACGTGTCAAGTACTCGGACTGTCAACAACTCCGACCGGAATTAGGTCAATTTACCATGGCAAGGGGTGCCATGTATTTCTACAGATTGGTTTCCATGTCTACCTGTACGCTTGGTGCAACCACTCAACCAGGCGCCTGTCGCAGTCCATCCATGCATGGATGTTGGAAACAATAGGCCTCCTCTACCAACACGGCTTTCACGAGGAACCTTGTTTCATCAACCCTTCACTATAAGAACGATAGCGCCTATAGGCGTTCAAGGGATCGAAAAGATCGCCTTCCTTCGTCCGGTTTGATCTTTTCGACTACGACACCTTCCTATCTTCCGCCTTGACTACCGGACACAGTGTCAATTTGATACTTAAAGACCCTCGGCCGTCCCACTGACCCCTGTCCTCCATCGTCACCTCGATATAAGAACAGGAGTACTTATACGCCGCTTCAGGGATGAAAACGATCTCATTACTTCGTGCAATGGACATATTGCCTCGACTTCCTACTACCCGGTTACGTCGATGCCCCGGCGGTCGATTGTGAAGCTGGTTTACTTCGTCTACTTGAGGTTGGTTCGCAGGCGATCACACCTTTTTCCGAATCGCACCGACGGTACGCAATCGCAGACCCCTGTTGCTGACTACCTCCCCTGCCACCTTGTCAGTGGCTAGTGGCCCACACCAGCCCACATTGTGACCACCTGTGATCCAGAGATCAACACCATTGGCACAGCAACAGCCTCGAGATAAAGGCTTATCCGGGACGTCACTTGCTGACAGTGCATTCTCGGTCACGCCCTGTTGATCGTGTCCACTGACGACGTCACCGTAGTGTGGTGTTTGCGGACCCAGAGTACTCGCCCCTCTCCCGGCGCTACAAACTCGACCGGTGCCCCCGAGAATCACCATCTCCGGCGTTCCAGGCGCCTCAAGATCTCCGACACCTCACGATCTCCAGCGCCTCTGGCCAGACTATGTCATACGGTCGACACCCAAACCCTAGATCTGTTTGCCTCATATCTGAATGTTGCCAGCTGTCGTCTTCCATTCCACCTGTGCCGGATACGACCGCTGTGGCAGTCGAAGCCTTCAGTCGTTCCTGAGAAGGACTACGCGCGTACGCTTTTCCGACTCCGGTTCTCCCTCCCACGGTTCTTCAGAGATCCAGGCCACTCGACCCCTGCCATTGACTTTGGTCTCGCCTTATTGGCCAGCCAGAAGTTGGGTAATTGACCTCCGAAACATAGCCAGAGACAACCCCTGGAACTTCCGGTGTGGTCCAACCTTCTGCTCCATCCACACGGTCTGTTGCCACACCCTAATACCCGCATGTTATCGTATGCACGCCTGACACAACTGCAGAAAACCAAGGGCTATTCGGCTAGAGCGACCAAGGCTATTGCTTCAGCCCACCGTCCATCTTCAGGGGGACTGTATGCTGATAAATGATGCTCGTTCCAGGCATTTTGTTCTGACGAACACCAGGATCCGATGACAGCGTCACCGCAGATCCTGGATCAGTTCCTTCTGTACTTGCGTAGCACCCGTCGGTTGAAGGGCTTACCACCCCCACGTACCTGGTCACCATCTACTCCGTTCTGGCCATCCCGGACGATCGGAGAAAGACGAAAATTCCCGACCTACGGGCCTGGCTGCGCTCGTTCAGTCTTGAAGACCTGAAGGCCAAGTTCAGACCGCCTGCGTTGGATCTGAATGTGGTTTTCAACGCCCTTCGAACCACTCCCCTCGTCTTCCTTCTACGACCTTAAGTAGAAGACGGGTGTTTCTACTGGTTTTGACTACTGCCCCTCGAGTCCATGTACAGCACGCCCTCGACGTCCGTGCCCGGTTCGAATGCGGTACCCAGGGCGCCGTTCATCATGGACCGTACTGGGACGTCAGCGTAAAGACTCAACTTCCAGGACAGCCTGATAGATCATTCTTTGTCCCCTCCCCCCTCGTCCATTGAGGGTGCAGAGGATGAGGAAGAGCGTCATTATGCCCAGTAAGGGCACTGAAGGTTATTCTACGACGATCTAAAGACTGCCGCAAGTCTAGGAAACACCTTTTTCTGCCGGTCTCCCCTTCGTCGCAGTCGTTGGTCAGCCGGAATACTTTTCCCTGTGGCTCCGGGCGGTCATCCTTAAAGCTGATGAAGCCGCCGGATTGGACCCTCCCCCAAAAGGCTATCACCTGAAATAAAACGAGATCAGGGCGATCGTATTTGCACTGGTTCTTCACGGTATACTGTTCCATCCAGTTGTTCAGGGAAGCCTGTTCGTGGCGATCGGACACCGCCTTCACCAACCACTACTTCCAGGATGTAGCCTTGAAAGTTGTCGCCGGCGTTCACAGTTTTGGTCCCTGGTTGTAGCCCAACAGGTCATCTATCTCCGACGCCACTGATTCTCCCATACCCTGAGCGGGGCCCGTCGACCTCTCTGGTGTTTATCACCCCAGACGAGACGGCTCTCTTGCGTTCCGCATTCGCTCTTAGGTCAGTTTTAGTTTTGGGTTACCCGACTCATTCTATTGCTGTCACCTATCCGGGTTTTACTTTTTGCATCAACTCTCGTTTCCTGACGACTGGAATGGTAGTAGATGTGGACACCTGCGCGACGCCAACGCCGCTGCTTCTCTGATACCTGAGCGGTGCCCGTCGACCTCACCGGTGTTCCTTGCCTCCAGCCTAGAGGGCTCTCCTGCGTTTCGCATTCGCTCTTGGGATTGGTCGTAGATTTTGCCGCCAACGCCGCTGATTCTTCGATTCCCCGAGCTGGGCCCGTCGAACTCTCTGGTGTTTATCGCCTCAGGGCTCTGAGGGCTCTACTGCGTTTCGCTCTCGCTCTTCGGTAAGTTCTATATTTTCGCTACACGCCTCATTGTATTTCAGTTACCTATTCGGGCATTTCGTTTTTGCATCGACTCTTGTTTCCTGAAGACAGGAATGGTCGTAGATGTTCCGGTCATCACTTGTATGCGGTGCGGATTCATCGGACCTTGACGAGGGTTTATTATGGTTCACATCTGCAGGTATGCCCACCGGCCATGCCGTCTGATAAAGATGCAATACGGAGTAATGCAGGATAAGTTAAAAAATTTAGTAAAATCTAAATATTTTTTAAATTTGTATACTTATCCTGCATTACGAAGTCTAAGTGTCCTCCCTTTCGCTACGCTACCTCCCCACGAAGTTTCAGATGTTATGTTTAAAGCAGTTATGTGTTTTGGTGTGACGTCATGACTTCCGGGTCACGTGCCGACTGTGAGAGGGCGCTGCCTCCTGAGCTGGTTGGGACAACTTTCTTCAGCAGCTGGATCTCACACAGTTCGTCTCTCTGTCAAACACAGCAGTAAAAGCAATACGGAGTAATGCAGGATAAGTATACAAATGTAAAAAATATTTAGATTTGACTAATATCTTGTTTATACACCAGGGAAATCATTTTGGCTCATTGATATGTCCTGTCAAAGATAAAGGTCATCCTCTAGTTCATAGCTTGAAAGAAAACAGTTTACGCAAGAAGGATTTACTGTAGATCAATGAAAGTTTGAATACTTATGCAAGACAGGTAATGACAACTTAAAGATTTACTTTTAATGAGATGCATATGCTATTTTTATTTTTTTGTTACATTGACCAACCCTATGGGGATTCCAGGTTGGAATATGTGACCCCAGCAACCTATTCCTGTCATTAGAGAAGAACACATGGCTTAGATGGTCAGACTGGGTGTCTTGGTTAATTGGTCTTCCTATCCCAAATGCATGAAACGATGCTCATGATGTCCAGACCATTATCTACAGCCTGCTGCCATTGCTTAGTGCGGCGTTAAACAACGAAACCAACACAAATTCCACCAAGGGACATCATATTTGGGTTATATGCTGAATAGCCTTTTGGAATGGTCTTGAAATATTTCTCACAGATATTGAAAGTCACAAATTCACTCTCAAGGTCATACACTAAAAATTTATTTTGTTCATGTAAAGTCACTGTAATGGGATGAAACTGTCCATGCATCATCCTTGCGGTGGGGCATTGAATAGGTAAGCTTTTGAGGGCCCTTCATTTAAGGTCAAGGTCACTGGAATGGTAATTCAAAAGGTAGTTATGCATCTTTTGCGTACTGAAGCAACCCTCTGTGTTTGTAGGAGATGCTAGTGAGAGCAAGCACCGATGTTTTAAACTGGAGATAACAAGGCATGGCTGAAATTGAGAGTCAAGGTCATTAAGCAAAAAGTGCATGAAACATTTTTATTATTGTAGCTTAAGAGGTCTTGCATTACATATACATATTTCTAAACCAGGGAGTGATGTTGTTGATCTGGAAGTTTTTTTTTATTTTGTTGTTAAGGTAGCGAGAGGCGTAGGACTTTCAAAATTGTACTGCATGGGGAAAAGGTGAGGACAGGGCTGCTTCAGTTTTGTCATGTGATACAAACACTATACTGGTTACAAGAAAGCACTTTCAACAACCAAAATTCATATCATACCAGTGATTACACTGTCATGTTTATATTTTATGTATGTTGACAATACTTATTAAGTTGTGATTGTGTTGTAGGCTTGTATTACGATGTCGCCAGGAGGCTCGTACCAGGTTTGCCAAGATGAGGTCCGATGTCCTTGTCAAAATGGAGTTACTGGATCAGAAACATGGTGAGATGTACAAGTCTTTTGAAGCAAATACATGTACTACACGGTGAAACAAACATGTACATGACAACTGTAGCAGATCCTCCACAGTGAATCAAACATGTACATGACAACTGTAGCAGATCCTCCACAGTGAAACAAACATGCACATGACAAACATTACACGACAACTGTAGCAGATCCTCCACAGTGACACAAACATTCACATGACAAACATTACACAACAACTGTAGCATATCCTCCACAGTAAAACAAACATGCACATGTCAAACATTACACAAGAACTGTAGCATATCCTTCACAATGAAACAAACATGCACATGACAAACATTACACGACAACTGTAGCAGATCCTCCACAGTGAAACCAACATGTACATGACAAACATTACACGACAACTGTAGCAGATCCTTCACTATGAAACAAACATGCACATGACAACTGTAGCAGATCCTCCACAGTGAAACAAACATGTACATGACAAACATAACACGACAACTGTAGCAGATCCTTCACTATGAAACAAACATGCACATGACAAACATTACGCAACAACTGTAGCAGATCCTTCACTATGAAACAAACTTTACATGACAACTGTAGCAGATCCTCCACAATGAAACAAACATGCACATGCCAAACATTACACGACAACTGTAGCAGATCCTTCACTATGAAACAAACATGCACATGTCAAACATTACGCGACAACTGTAGCAGATCCTCCACAATGAAACAAACATGCACATGTCAAACATTACGCGACAACTGTAGCAGATCCTTCACTATGAAACAAACATGCACATGACAAACATTACGCGACAACTGTAGCAGATCCTTCACTATGAAACAAACATGCACATGCCAAACATTACACGACAACTGTAGCAGATCCTCCACAGTGAAACATGTACATGTCAAACATTACATGACAACTGTAGCAGATCCATCACAGTAATACAAACATGCACATGACAAACATTACACGACAACTGTAGCAGATCCTCCACAGTGAAACAAACATGCACATGTTAAACATTACACGACAACTGTAGCATATCCTCCACAGTGAATCAAACATGTACATGTCAAACATTACACAAGAACTGTAGCATATCCTTCACAATGAAACAAACATGCACATGACAAACATTACACGACAACTGTAGCAGATCCTCCACAGTGAAACCAACATGTACATGACAAACATTACACGACAACTGTAGCAGATCCTTCACTATGAAACAAACATGCACATGACAACTGTAGCAGATCCTCCACAGTGAAACAAACATGTACATGACAAACATAACACGACAACTGTAGCAGATCCTTCACTATGAAACAAACATGCACATGACAAACATTACGCAACAACTGTAGCAGATCCTTCACTATGAAACAAACTTTACATGACAACTGTAGCAGATCCTCCACAATGAAACAAACATGCACATGCCAAACATTACACGACAACTGTAGCAGATCCTTCACTATGAAACAAACATGCACATGTCAAACATTACGCGACAACTGTAGCAGATCCTCCACAATGAAACAAACATGCACATGTCAAACATTACGCGACAACTGTAGCAGATCCTTCACTATGAAACAAACATGCACATGACAAACATTACGCGACAACTGTAGCAGATCCTTCACTATGAAACAAACATGCACATGCCAAACATTACACGACAACTGTAGCAGATCCTCCACAGTGAAACATGTACATGTCAAACATTACATGACAACTGTAGCAGATCCATCACAGTAATACAAACATGCACATGACAAACATTACACGACAACTGTAGCAGATCCTCCACAGTGAAACAAACATGCACATGTTAAACATTACACGACAACTGTAGCAGATCCTCCACAGTGAAACAAACATGTACATGACAAACATTACGCGACAACTGTAGCAGATCCTCCACAGTGAAACAAACATTACACGACAACTGTAGCAGATCCTCAACAGTGAAACATGCACATGTCAAACACTACAAGACATCTGTAGCAGATACATCACAGTGAAACAAACATGCACATTACAAACATTACGTGACAACTGTAGCAGATCCCCAAGAGGGAAACAAACATGCACATGTCAAACATTACACGACAACTGTAGCAGATCCTCCACAGTGAAACAAACATGTACATGACAAACATTACGCGACAACTGTAGCAGATCCTCCACAGTGAAACAAACATGCACATGACAAACATTACACGACAACTGTAGCAGATCCTCCACAATGAAACAAACATGCACATGACAAACATTACACGACAACTGTAGCAGATCCTCCACAGTGAAACAAACATGTACATGACAAACATTACACGACAACTGTAACAGATCCTCCACAGTGAAACAAACATGCACATGACAAACATTACACAACAACTGTAGCAGATCCTTCACAGTGAAACAGACATGTACATGACAAACATTACATGACAACTGTAACAGATCCTCCACAGTGAAACAAACATGTACATGACAAACATTACACGACAACTGTAACAGATCCTCCACAGTGAAACAAACATGCACATGACAAACATTACACAACAACTGTAGCAGATCCTTTACAGTGAAACAAACATGTACATGACAAACATTACATGACAACTGTAACAGATCCTCCACAGTGAAACAAACATGTACATGACAAACATTACACGACAACTATAGCAGATCCATCACAGTGAAACAAACATGTACATGACAAACATTACACGACCTGCGACCTAAAGTTGAGAAGATTTTATTGCAGATGATGGAGTGTGCAGGATAGCGCAACCCCTCTTATATTGACACAATAACGCCCTACTCTTCCTTGGCTGAGCTACACTTTGCAAGTTGTCAACCAGGCCATTGAGATATTCAAGAGGCTTAACAGTGAAGACAGGCTACCACATTCCCCGATGAAACAGTGTATTTACAAAATTGTCCTGTGCCAGATCATCTGATCATCAATGAAGATTACTTCAAGTTAGTTAGGAAGCTCAACACAATGGGCCCACTTCATGGGCACTTTTAGGTGAAATGGGTAGTCAGGCCAGTGTTACATTACCTATAAGCTTGCCAAGGGCAATGCACATTGGACGGATTGACTCATGAGAGTAATCACGTAATGTAACAGGGATGTAGAGCCATATCGTGCCATGAATAGATCGTATGCCACTGGCAGCACATCTTCCTGAGGCAAGGGTGGTGGGACAATACACAGATGCATCGTGGATTGCGATGTTTCACTTCCCGATACAAGTATCGATCACAGTTACACACTAAGTAAAAAGTATTGATTCTTATGTTAAATGTCTTCTTGTTACACCAAACTCTAATTAGTAGTGAAAAAGTAAATATTTTCATCCATTGCGCCATACCTGACACTGCCAACTGTAAATTGTCAGTGTGCCAGGTATTTGAATATCCTGTCTATGAAAAATGTTGGTTACGCACTACAGGTACAAGCACATACAAGTATCGTGATATGTATCGGATCGTGAGCAAGGTATCACAATATGTATCGGATCGCACAGTTGGCCCTAGTGTTAACTGACTATAAACGTTGACCTTTTCGCCACACATTACAAGAACCAGCTTCAGACGTTTGTATCCCTGGCTTGGGATCAGGACTCACTTGCCATTGCGTGGAATGGTCTACACGCGTAAGTGTTTCCACCTCTAGCGCTCCTTCCCTGTGTTCTCCAAAAAATGGCCTCCACAGGGAACATCTCCATTCTTTTGGTTGAGCCTTACTTACCAAGATGGAGAGCCAGACTTAAACTCCTGTGTTTCCCGATCTGCTCAGAAATCAACACTCATCAACCACACCCATGCTCAGAGGCGTGGGATCAACACATGTGGTCCATTTGCAGAACGCATTGACGGCTAGGGGTTTCTCTAAGGCGGCTTATTCTATTCTTCAGACTAAGCGCCCTTCTGCTGCCTTCTTGTATGATCAGAAATGGTTATCCTTCGAGGTTTATTGTCATCAACGGGATATTGATCCTACTTTGGCTTATACTCCATTCATAGCTGATTTCTTTGTCTTTTTACGTGAGATCAAACATTTGTCTGGCGGTACCATTGCCATCACCACTGCTTCTGAACTAGCCGCCATCCTGCGAGGTTACTGTAAGGCTGATCAGCAATAAAATTTCGACCTCCAGCCTGGGACTTGGGACTGGTTTATGTCACCTTCTCATTTCTCTCTCGGAACCATACTGATGGGGAATTGGTGCCTCTTGCGCAGAAAACTGCCTTTCTTCGATCCTTAGCCACTGTGGCAAGTGTCAGTGAACTCCAAACTCTCGACATAACCCAAATCAAATTTGTGCTGAGGTACATCTTGGCTTGATGAAAAATTGCCTTGTCAGGTGAAACTAACATCATTGGGTCTAATGATACAGAGAACATCTCCCTATATTCTATTTGTGCGTGAAGGCGGTATGTTGAAGTCACTTGTCCGTCCGTAAACATCTTTTCCTCCCAACCACTGAGGAGGGCCGAGAGAATATTTCAAAGAATACCATTTTTCAGGTTTCAATCCTAGCTTCCCATCCACAATGGCTCTCCACACCAACTGCTCCGTCAGACATCGTCCAAGGTTGTTTTTGTCCTACCCACTCTACTTTCGCCAACTTCTACCTCCGAGATCTGTCTGTTGAGGATGTCAAGGGAGTGCACCAGTTGGGTTCTCTTGTCTTTGCGCAGCAACTGGTCGCCCCTCCCCATTGCCGTTGACCCTTTGGACTGGAGCGCCTGCCATTTTGGACACCCAAACCAGTATGCCTGCATGTTTGTTCTTTCTTTCTATGGAATGATTGCATTATACTCCGTACTGATTGTACTTCGTATCATGAGGGTAACTATGGTTCCCGATCTTTCGAGTACCTCCAGTTGCAACGTAATTTCAAACCCAGCCTTTCCTGTAATCAGGCATGGTGGTAATGTATTGAACACACCCATGGGTGGAAGACAAAATGGCAGAGTAGTCTAGTCCGTGCTCTGGCCCGACCACTTAATCGCAAGGGAAATGCAGTTGATTGAACCCGCCGTCCTACCATGGGATAATTGCATACTGTTGTGGAGTGATAAGTTAAAACCTATAGGAAATCAGAGTATTCCCCTTATTTGTATACCTATCCTAAAACAACAGGTCATGACTGCCCACCCATCTGTCCCCTCAATGTTGGATCCACCTGTCACCGACCTTTCTTGGAAAAAGTGATAAGTAGTGCAGGAGCATGCTGGGAGCTATTGTTTGACATGTCAGAACTTTCAGGTGAGTGACATAAACTACATGATATACCTGCAACTAAACATTGAGGTTTGTAGAAATATGAATGCATATCACACGTGGCTATAGCAATCTATTAACACAATAGCCCATCATTCTGATGTTTCCTTTCTGAGAAATGGTTCAAATGGCTCTGTTTTGTCTGTTGCAGTTCAAGACATCGTGTTCCAGCTGCAGAAGTTTGTGACAGCTATGGCCAAGTATCACAATGACTGTCACAGTGTTATGAAAGATGCTGTAGTCTTTCCCATTGAGGTGGACCTCTCACGAGGCACCTTCACATATGACATGGACAATACCTTCAATGATGGAGAGGATGATGATGGAGAGGAAGCTGTGGAGGAGGAGGGAGATGACACAGGGGCAACACGAGGTGATGCGGACACACTCAGCTTTGGGGAGACTGGGAATCTCATCTGTACTGACTAATTTCACAGCGGACATTCAGCATGTGGGCCTCCTGTCCCAGATTTCCTGACCCAACCATCAGGATTTGCAAGCTTGAAGAACTTCTCCATTCATTGTATATTTCATTTGACTCGAAGGCTGTACTGACTTGATGTAGTCACACGAAGACAGGCTTTTGCTTCTTACCCATTAAGTTGAACCCAAGTGAAGCAGTTGAGGTTAAGCTGACATGAGATGATACACCTAATAAAAGTTTCACCTAATTTATACTATTTATGACATACTTTACAAAGGTTATCAACTCAAAGTGATATTTATCTGAAGTGAATAAATCACTATGACAGTGATTTCAAAAAATAATTTGGATTGATAGTTTGTGTATGCAAACACTGTAGACCTAGTGTCCACTATATCCTGGTCACACAGCTGTTGTACAGGTGAATGGGTAGGGAATGGATTCATGTAGTTGTTGGTTTTCCCACATTTTCTTTCGCATTCCACATATGGCATTCCATGAATGATTATTTTACAGGCAGCACATAGGACATGTCGTCTGAGCATGTACACATCCTATGTATGCACCATGCGCCGTGTTGACATGTGCGTCACATTCATTGCTTTTGAGTCTTGTAAATCTGACAATTTCTCTTCAGGGGAGACTACCACAGCCATGACTCTATGATGTAGTCCTTCCCCAGAGATGGGTAAATCACATGAAGTGTAGTGAGACTCTTTTGTGTCAACAGTTAATGTGAGGTGTGGATGTCTCTGACTGGACTTAAGACTTTGCGCTGTGGTTCTTTGTTGTGTGATGCATTGAACTTTGTGCAATACGTACTCATTGTAATGTTGTTACTGTTCAAAGAAAATGAGAAATAATAAAGTGTACCAGTAAAATGATTACTGTTGTAACTCACAAACTTTACATCATAGGCATCAATCGACACAACTGGGATACAATGACATGCATCAACCAAGTCAGTGAGCTTTTCCACCTGATCCTGTTAGTCACTTCTTACACAGAACATGGGTTGCTGGAGACCAATGCATGGGACCCATCACTATAACTTGTACAGGATCATTAGGATATATAACTATGTACATAATATGAAATGTTTAATTCTTATTTATTTTATATTGCAACTTTCAAATGATGCAACGAAATACTAAAATGTAGGCACACAGATTGGTACAAAAGTTCAAAACAATAGGGCGAGGAGTGCCCTAACACAGCTAACCTTCAAAACAACACCCAAACATGTGTGCACTACCCAAGCCAAAACAAAAAGGGACAAAGGCTTATTAATCATCCAAAGCCTTCAGACAAAGAAAGTACTTGAGTGAATAGTTGTGCTAAGGAACATTGTAATTCAGCCCTGTTAGCCCTGTTAGGTGTCAATTTCCAAATTGCACAATATGTTAAACCAGAAATCTGTACGTAAAAGAACTTTGTGTGAAACCAACAAACAACCAACAAGTGGTATACAATCAACAAATTAACAAGGTTCACAAATCAACACAAATTACTGCACAGCAATTACAATGGCAGTACACAATAGAGTGGTAGTACAGTATTCAATGACAGTATATGATGGCAGTGGTCCCTATCAAAAACAAGTGGTGACAGCAAAAGTCAGTGATAATAATATATATCCGGCCAGTGGCAACTGTCAAGCTTCCAAAACGGGCCTAGGGAGGGATCTGTAAACTGATCTTCACACGAAAGCTGGTCTTGATGTAATGAAATGTGAGAGATGAGACAGGCAGACTCTTGTCCCACTATATATATGCAGTCTAACAAGCTACTGGAAATTTCTACACAGTTCCCTCACGAGTACAGGATATTCTACATCAGTCCACAGTATACCGGAAGCTTACACACCACTCAAGCATATAAATATAGCATTCTGGTATTCCCTCCCGTGATATTGCTGGAATAGTGCTAAAAGCGGCGTTAAAACCATACTCACAACGTTCCCCACGACGCCTGTAAGCACATCTACCATATGTACAGCGAAGCATAAAACGTGAGTCCTCACTAAACCAAACGTGTCTCCATCGCAGTTGTGGACAAACTGTGACCTTGACACCATTGACGTCGCAGCCGACAATGCATGTCCGTCAAAATGACACCTCGAACTGGTCGTCCAGCGCGAATACCTTCAGCGCGTTAACGGTTCCTCAATGCAGCTGCAAATCCTGGCTACAGCTGAAGATGATTCTCGAGTTGGCAGTTGGCCAATGCCGTTTTCGCGTATGGCTTGTCAGTCGGGGCATGTTTTCGCTGTTCACTTGCTGTAAGATTGTTGTGGATGGTTTATATGTTTAACGTCCGCTTCACATTTACTGTATTTCGCGGACGGGGTAGGTGGGGAATATAAAAATGAATATGTATTGAATATGAGAAAATCACCATACCCAAAAAACTGAAAGGGGAGAGGTCGTAACCTACTATAACCTACAGTATAAATCATACATCAAGTGAATTACAAGGAAAAGTACGATGTTATTGTTTAATGTGGGTTAGAAGGGGGGAGGGGAGGAATCTGCTAACACTATCCCACCCGGCCTTATTTATGATATTTAGTTGGGTTATGGGTTATAGCATATTGGGTGATGGATGATATGCAGTTAAGCTGCCTTTAAAGAAAGAAAAAGGGGGTAAGTGCCTAATCTACGTATGAAGTGGTTGGGCCGGGAGGGGAGGGGGTGCGGCGTCATCGTGTGTTGAAGAATGTGAGCGTGGTGTGTGTTGACCTTTGTTGCTGGCTGGACGAACGGCGTTATTGTTAAGTTGTAGACAGACAGACAGAAGATTTTATTTACATCTCACTCGTGGGGATACATGCATATAAAATCAAGAATTAAGACATGTATTGAACACGACCAATCGCTTAGCGATTTATGAGAGACACTTTAAAACTTAAGTAAAATATATACAACAATGCAATACATTAAAACACATATGTACACACATGAAACACTATTGATGTAAAAGCTGGCGTCTCTTTCTTAAAATATCATGGCAGGCTTTGGAAGAATAAAAGCTAAGGTCCGGGCTGGATATAACACATAATTATCCCGCAATATACCAAAGAGAGAGGCACGGCCACCGAGCCGTGGATGCCCGTGCCTATAATAAAAACAGAAGATGAGATTGGGTTAAATGGCCGAGGGTGTGCAGGTGGGTTACTAAGCTGCTAATTGTGTATACCAAAATGCTACCGTTGCCATGGCCACTAGCGTGGCCAACAGCGATTCGCAGCTAGCGCTGCTGGCCTGAGACTGCTACCGCTGTCCGGCCCCCACAGTAGCATATTTAAACGCTACTATTGCTTGGCAACTACCACGCTGCCAAAAGCAGCTCCCGCTGCTGGTCTAAGTCAGACTACCGCTGCCCGGCACCAGGTAGCCGGCCAAAGCAGATCCCACTGCCTGGCCCCATTACCGCTTGACAAGATGACTTCCGCCGCCGGGCCCATATACGTGGCAATTGTTTACCCCAACGTATGTCATTTTACGATTCCTCGGCTGAAAAGTCGGGAAAGACAAGGTTCCCACTGAGAAGCAGGTAACCCCGGAAAGGTTCCCGCTGAAAAGCAGGTAGCCTTAAGCACGAGTATTAATTTGAAAGCAAGTTGATTTGTTACTAGCAGTGTAGCCCACAAGAACCCCGCCACAAAGCACCAGAGTGCTACCCCGCACCCATGGCCACGCGATACGCGGAGATAGCATTGTTGCCCAGCTTGCCTATGTACTGAAAAGAAACACTAACCTGTGGAGATAACATCCTTACTGGCGCAAAACAAGCGCCAGGGCTTGCAATAAATTGTCCGTAAACACACACAGTCCTTTGTTACTGAGGTCGACGCCCTCCCAGGAGTACCATGTCTTGTCTGATGCCAGGATCTGGGGATGTGGCACTATTGTACCGCCGAGCTCTTTGACTCTGTTGGCCAGTCGGCGGTTGATATTCTTCCGCACCCCCTCGATCTTTAGTGGATCCCTGGCATCGTGCCCGTAGCGCCTGGGCAGAATTGAGGATACGATGATCTTGGTGTCAGGAAGCTGGAGTTGTATCCGAAGGATTGATGCCACCATGTCAAGGTAGAGTTGGCTGCCCTTGACCGAGCACAGGTCGTTGGAGCCCAGGTGAATGATGAGGGCTCTGGGGCTGCGCCGTGTCGCCTTGACCTGTGCATCTAGAATGGTGTCCAGCTCCTTCCACCTCATCCCCCCTCGTGCCAGCCATAGCATCCTCGGTTGGTTCGGGCTGGTGCCCTTCAGGAGCAAGTACTGCTGTGCCCTGGCCATGTAGCTGGATCCCACCATCCAAACTGTAAACAATAAGAAGTGTAGTAAGTACCATGAAAGACTATTTGAATTAATTGTGCAACATTAAATTTGTTGGTAAGCGTATGTAAGCATTGTAGCAATCTGATTTCCACCTGCCGTATTGTTGTATGAGGTGTTCTGGCACCCCGTTCATGGCTGCTGATGTGGCTGCCCCAATGCGGAAGGAGTGCAAAGAATAGCAAGCCGTGTTTATGTTGCTGTGTGCTAAGGCCTTTTTTAGGAGTGCCTGGAATTGGTACCTTGTAACGGGGGAATGGTCGAAATGAACGAATGCATGTTGTGGGCCGGAGGGGCGCGCCTCCAGGTAGTGCTTGATGGCGACTACCGGACATAGCGGATTACGTGGTATAGATGACATTGTAACTGTTGTCCCCATCCTGT